TCTATAGCCTTGTAAATCAAGTCTAATGAGGGATAAGAAACTAGTCAGTGGCACAGTCCCATGGCATGGTGGCAGCCTGCTCCAGTAGTCTCTGAGCTCCCACAGGTGAGGCTCGCTCGATGATCCTGAGACTCTCTTATTTTAAAGGAATTGTTGGCAAACTTATCACGTGTTTGTCCCATGGTTATCTAGATGTGCATCCTCTTCTCATCACTCTTCATGTATTTCACTCTTAGAAAAGAACTAAAAAGAGTCATGAACAAAAGCAGAAACAAGGACACTCTCGCTGGAGTGGCCTACCAAGCTCTGCAGGCTCTTCTTAATCCTTAAAACACGAGTTGTTTCTGTACAGGAGCCCAGCTTCAGGGGGAAGGCTGGAAAGGGCAGGGGAGAGAGGGTGCATGTCTGATGCAGGCTGGGGGAGAACTGTGACAGAGTCTTCCGTTTCCTGGCTGATTTGGCAGGTAGGATGTTGGATGAACTGACTGTGGTAGCAGAAACAGCCAGCGTTTCACATGACATTGAAAAGTCTAGTCCAGCTTAATGTTTTGAAGAACACTGTGGGTGTCTAGCCTCAGGGTACAATCCTTCGCACTGGATGTCAAAGGGACAGTGGCCACCCTGAGTCCACACATACCCTAACACCACAGCCCAGTGAGGCATGGCAATGGAGGTGCGTCTTGTGCTCTAGCCCAAAACAGTTCTCCAGGAATGTATGAGTGTTGGAAACGTCTTTTGAGTTGCCTTACTTACACCTTAAATAATATAGTCTGAGAACTTGACATATAGTTTCTGGTCCTGGAGTCCACAGTCTAAAAGAACATTTTAGCACCTATCTTGTAGACAGATGGGACTGGTTTCGGCACCAGCCCTTAGTGTCAGACTTACAAAGCCATTTAGGGGATTAACTCCTATTGAGCATCTAGGCTTTAAAGGAAATAAGTCTTCTTTCACTTACACTGGGGAATACTCACAGAGGCATACAGTAGTTTCAGCTACTGTAAATAAATACCATTGATTTGAACTTTCACATAGCTCAGTAACATAGAATGTTTAGAGGAGCATGATGCAGATAAGACTTAAAAATAAATTTTTAAAAATCAGAGCCCTGGTTCCCAGATGTCTTTATGATTACAAAAAAATCACCACCACTCCTCCAAAAAAAACCCAAACCTAAAAATGAATCTGAGAGTGAGATCAGTCCTCTGAAATCTTTTCTTTTTCTGAAGTAAGGTTTCTTACTTGGATCTCTCAGGAGTAAGCTAGCATCCATCTGTCATCAAACTAACAAATGTTGGTAGCACCTATACTTCAACCATTCTGCCTGCTTTGTTGCCTTGGTCCTCTCCTCCTGTCCACTAGTCCTGGGATAAGACCTGGATAGGAGGTAGGTGGTTAAGTTGCACAGCACAGTTAGAACAAGCTATTTCTGAGTGTTCTTAAAATTTAGGTGCCTAACAGAAAAGTTGCCTGGGAATTTAGGGCAGGTGGAGGTTAGAAAGAGGCTTAAGTGCTGGACAGCCCTGCCTAATGTGGGAGTTTGGAGGAGTCCAGCTTCTTGTGTTCCTTGGTGGGTACAGCCCTTAAAGCAGGCTGAAATATTGTTTTACCCAAGATGCACAGCCAAGGGAGAGCAGAAGACAAGCAGAATGAGCAGTATCATGAATGTATTATAGAGTCAGAGAAGCTCTTTAAAGTCAAGGAACATATTTGAGGTGAATAAAGAAAGTAACAGGAGATAATATATGTTACTGTTCTAACTTTCACCTTCTTTCATAGACTGTGAGTTTAGTATTTGCCTTGTTGATCCAAGCTCTGGCAACTGCCTCTCCTACATTCAGAAGTCCCAGCAAAGACTGATTACAAATATTTTTTTCTCTGATTTCTTTTTTAAAAGAGATGCAAGTTTGCGCCCTTTAAAGACTTAGTAGTACTACTAATCATGGAATTTTCCTTTGAATATGGGACTTAAACACCTACCTTTTCACTCAGCATAAAAGATGAATTTTATTATTACGGAAAAGAAATCTGTTTTTACTTTTCTTAAAATCTCATAGATTCATTTTACAGTAACACAGAGGGTAGCTACACAGTGATTTGACTCAGTTTTTTTTAAGGAAAGCGTGCTTTATTATGTTTATTTCCTTTCAGCAAAGGTTTTAGGGCCTTAAAACAAAAAAAAAGACAGAATTATCTTACGGGTTAGATCATGTGCTGAGCTCATTGCTATCCATAGTTGTATTGTGTTCCTTGTTGTTTTTTTCCCTCCCTCTTAACTATTTGTGCAAGCGGTATAGCATGAAATAGCACAGTAATTGTTCAACATACAATTTCCAAATTACAGCTGATGAAGTTCACTCAAAAGGAACTAAAGGTTTCCAAAAGAAAAAGGCAAATCTATTGAAAATATTGAAAATAAACAGCAATAAACAATAGTTTGTACTATTTTACACTGGAAAGTTTATTTACATAATCCTAACTGTCACAGCAAACAGGCTCTTTCTGGGTCCCATCCTGCCAGATTCATAAAATATTTAAAGAGTTTTAATATTACATTTCAAATTACACTTTTGGAAGTTTCTCTTGTGTGTAGCTTACTAGTTTTTAAGCTAATGAGAATATTTATAAGTTTTGGGTTGTTTTTGATTTTCATTTGTATCAGTCTCATGTTCAGCTGCTGTTCACTGATATCACCATGGTGCAAAAACGAAGCTGTTGTTTTGGATTTGTTTTTTGAAAAAAATAATATATTGTTCTTATTATGCTATGTGTGATGTGATTTTCCCTGTGGACTATCCTGGTAGAAGTAATATGTCTATGGAATTTGAATTAAAATAGATTAAATACCCAAAGGTGTGCACTACGGATTTTTTTTTTTTTCTTCCTCGAATCTCAAAAATAAGCAATTATTTTGAAAAGACAAGCTAGAAGTACCAAGGGAGGCAAGAAATAAGGGCATTACCAGAAATAATTAAAACAATCTGGTATTCCAGGTACTTAACCTCAAACTCTCCCCCTTTTTTACCATCAGGAAAGTAGGGAGGTATTTTGACTGTCTCTACAAGCAGTGAAACAATACCAACTTCTCAGCTTATGGATATTTCTGTATTAGGGTTCCAACAGAGAACTTCAGTGTAATCAAATTCGTTACATTATCATTTTGGCATTTTAATATAAATGGGATCATCAAAGAAACAACCTGATGCTACAGGGTTTTATTTGTAATGCTGTGCACAACTTAGAATTATCTGCTATGACATTTGATAACTCAGGAAGTAAACCAACTTATTAATAGTACAGTTCTGTGTACCCTCATCAACTTCACATGCAAGCATTTATATATCCGAAAACCTTCAGTAAGTGAAAGAAAAAAACATGGCCCTTGCAATGTGTTTGTGTCCTTGTTCAGGAATACACAAAACCAAAATGAGATATTTTCTAATGGTATATGACATTGTAAACAATTTAAGTCTTCAGTGCTAGGTTGAAGAACTGTTTGGTTTAGGTTTTTAGATTTTTAGCTGAAGTGTAGGATAACCACACGACATTATTATTGCTCAAATAGTTCAGAGAAGCCTTGTGTCCACATTATTCTCAGAAGAACTTAGACTCCTATTTTCCTGTACACATGAAGAAAGCTTTCCACTGGAGAAGGCTATGGAAAATGTGCTTTTCACTGTCAGGCTGTTGATGCTCCTTCCTAGCCAGCCAAGCGGAACCAGTAACTGATCTGTAGGTGGAGTCATGATGCCACCCCCAACCCCTTTAAAAAAAAAAAACCAACAACATATTCAGCAACACTTTTACTAGCACTTCAAGAGAAAAGGGGAATCAAGCATAGGTGGGCCAGGCACACAGTTTGTAGTATGCAGGCGTATCAGCCGTCATGGTAACACCTTCATCTACTGGGATTTTGCCCTCAGTAATACAGCAGATTGTAAAAGGCCAAAAGATGTGTAGATCCTAATTCTCAGGTCTGCCTTCTAGTTCTGTTTGTTTAAGGATTTTTTTTGTCTGTTTGTTCAATTTCTGTGCGGTTTCTTCTGTAGGTTTCAGCAGAATATATACATATGCACTCATACAACTACATATGTATGTGTATAGTTTTGTAAATGTTCTCAATCATGCTTTTTTCTGCTTTGCATCATTGATTCATGTATCTTCCATGTTCTCATTTATTTTTTGTGCAACTAAACCTTATAATAAATTATTATTAAATATAACCTGACAGTGACGGTCTTCATGTTTTGTTTTCTCCGTGGCATGGGGGGAGAGGCGGGGGGGAAAGAGGGAGGGAGGATAGCACGGGCTACACTTATATTCTATCCCCAGATAGAAAGCGCTGAAATAACTGTGGTGAATGGCAAGAAGCCTGTAAAACCACACAGCTGTCAAATAGCAAGCTTCTGTTCATACTTTTAAATCTAGGTTCAAGGACCCCTGATATATTTGCTTTTTTCAGCTGAATAGTACTATTTGCCCAGCAGCAAAATAACACCTCCTGTGTGGAAAATCATGGATATTTATTATTCTATAGAGCTCTCAATTTGAGATGCAAAAATTATGGACGTAGACAACATTGAGCACATTTTCTTTCTCACCCTGTCACACAGGCTTCTCAGACAAATAGATTTTTCAGACCAAATTAACTTTATGTAAACATATGCAACTCCATTCTGCATATCAGAGCTGTTCTAAAATTCTTACTTAAGAGTACACCTACTGGGTAAAAATGTTTAAATTGCAGAGCTACAAATAATCTTTAATTCTACATATGAATCAAAGGATATGTTAATGCTGCAGGCTGCAATACAACACAGACACACCTGGTGTAACCTGGCCCAGGCTGGCTGTTCAGCCAACACAGACCAGGCAGTGCTCACCACAGCTAGTTTGACTTTCCACATCCCACCAGCACAAAGAAAATAAAGTCTAAGCTGCAACTATAAGGCCTACACTTTGGTTACTTCATTCTTAAGAAGGAATCTAAAGGTCTTTTCTTAGGTTTTTGTGAGACGTAAATTGCAGTTGACGTAAATCTCCTCTGTCTGCCTGAATGATGATTCTTCTCTTCTTTCTGTGTTCCATGTGCCATGAGAATTGAATCTTCCACACCTGTTAGCAGGCTAGAAGAACATTAAAAAAAAAAAAAAAAAAAAAAAAGAAAAAGTTGAAGGACTTTTCTCAAAACAGCTACAACTTTGAAAAAGGAGAAAAATGGCAGATTTTCCTCATATGCTGATTTATTATTGGGAAATATTCAACCATCAATCAAAATATTTTTTGTCTTCTTGCTTTCTACTAATACATTTCAGGTTCAAGTCATATGAAAAAAGAACTTGCACGTTGAATATGTTTCCCAGCTGTCCCACATCAGGTGCCTGGTAAAGCACCAGTGGAATAACTCCTTCCCATCACATGCACACTTCAAGTACTGAAATAGTCTCCTATGTCAATCTTAAAACATGAATTACTCTAAAGGTATCGACTATGCTAAGAATTACTCATGTCATTAAGACAACTTAATGACAACCGGGGAGGTCCCAGATGACTGGAAGGTAGCAAATGTGACACCCCTCTACAGGAAGGGTCGGAAGGAGGATCCGGGGAATTACAGGCTTATCAGCCTGACCTCGGTGCCAATGAAGGTCATGGAACAAATAATCTTGAGTGTCATTATGCAGCAAGCGCGGGACAACCGGGGGATCAGGCCCAGCCAGCATGGGTTTATGAAAGGGAGATCCTGTTTCAGTAACCTGGTCTCCTTCTATGACAAGGTGACCCGCTTAGTGGATGAGGGGAAGGCTGTGGATGTTGTCTACTTGGACTTTGGTTAGGCCTTTGACACTGTCTCCCACAGCATTCTCCTGGAGAAGCTGGCTGCTCACGGCTTGGATGGGTGCATTCTGCGCTGGGTTAAAAACTGGCTGGACGGCCGAGCCTAGAGAGTGGTGGTAAATGGAGTCAAATCCAGTTGGCGGCTGGGCACGAGGGGTGTTTCCCAGGGCTCAGTACCGGGGGCGGGCCCGTTCCATA